GTATGCAAGGATGGTTCAACATGAGAAAAACAATCAACATCATCCATCACATAAATAAAACAAAAGAAAAGAACCACATGATCATATCAATTGATGCAGAAAAGACATTTGATAAAATCCAACACCCATTCCTGATCAAAATGCTCAGCAAAATAGGAATAGAAAGGTAATTCTTCAACATAATAAAGGGCATCTATGAAAAACCAACAGCCAACATTATTCTCAATGGAGAGAGACTGAAACCATTCCCTTTGCGAACAGGAACCAGACAAGGATGCCCTCTATTGCTTTTATTTGACATTGTATTGGAAGTCCTAGCTGGAGCAATAAGGCAAGAAAGGGAAATCAAAGGCATCTAAATTGGTAAGGAAGAAGTCAAACTATCCCTACTTGCTGATGATATTGTCCTATACATAGAAAACCCAAGAGACTCAGCAAGAAAACTTCTGTAACTAACTGAGAGATTTAGCATCGTGGCAGGATACAAGAAGAACATCCAAAAATCAGTTGGATTCCTCTACACCAGCAAAGAGACTGCTGAAAAGGAAAGAAGGAAACCATATTGTTTACAATAGCTGTCCCAAAAATTAAATACTTGGGAATAAATCTCACTAGGGACACAAAAGACCGTACAAAACCCTACTTCAAGAAACCATAAGAGAGCAACATAAATGGAAGAGCATACCAGGCTTGTGGATAGGAAGCATGAACATTGTGAAAATGTCAATTCTACCCAAAGCAATCTATACATTCAATGCAATCCCAATCCAGATCCTATCAACATTCTTTAAGGATATGGACAAACCAATCACTGATTTTATATGGAAAGGGAAGAGGCCTCAGATAAGCAAAGCACTATTGAAGAAGAACAAACTGGAGGTCTCTCACTCCCGGATCTCAACCTACTATACAGTCACAGTAGTCAAAACTGCCTGGTATTGGTACGACAGACACGTAGACCAGTGGAACAGAATTGAGAACCCGGAAATAGATCCATCCACCTATGGTCAGCTGATTTTTGACAAAGGGCTAAAATCCATTACATGGGGAAGAGAGAAGAGAGTCTCTTTAATAAATGGTGCTGGCAAAACTGGATATCCATTTGTAGAAAAATGAAACAAGATCCATACCTCACACTATACACAAAAACTAACTCCAGATGGATCAAAGACTTAAATGTGAAACCTAATACTATCAAGTTCCTCAAGGAAAAACTAGAGGCAAATTTAGGCGCCCTAATTTATGGCATAAATAGACTGTCAAGCCTAACCCAAAATGCACAAACTGCAGAAGGCAAACTAGATGAATGGGACCTTCTGAAAATTAAATTTTTATTTGCTTCCAAAGCCTTCTCTAAAGGAATAAAAAGTGAACTTACAGACTGGGAAAAAAATATTCGGCAACAACTGACAGAGGACTTATCTCTAAAATTTATAGAAAACTCCAACACCTCAACAACAAAAAGATTAACAATCCAATTAAAAAATGGGCAGAAAACATGAAAAGACACTTCACCAAAGAGGATATTCAGGCAGCCAACAAATACATGAAGAAATCTTCATGATCATTAGCCGTTAGAGAGATGCAAATCAAAACACAATGAGCTGGCCCCACCACTAATAGCAAAGTCCAACAAGACAGAAAATAACAAATGCTGGAGAGGATGTGGAGAGATTGGGACTCTCATACACTGCTGGCGGGACTGAAAAATTATACAGCCACTATGGAAAGCAGTATTATGATTCCTTAAAAAGTTGGAATTAGAAATACCATTACTAGCCACTCCTCGGAAGGAAGGTTGGGCAATCCTACTTCCGTAGTGATACTGCCTCGGAAACCCAAGGAGGGGTCGCTATGAGTCAGGGCCGACTCGACGGCACATAACAACAACAACAGGTATATATCCTAAAGAAGTGACAGCTAGGACAAGAACAGTTATACACATACCCATGTTCATCCCAGCACTACTTACAGTAGCAAAAAGATGGAAAGAACCTAGGTGCCCATCAACAGAAGAATGGATAACCAAACTATGGTACATACACACAATGGAATACTATGCAACACTGAAGAACAATGCAGAATCTGCAAACCACCACATAACGTGGATGAACTTGGAGGACATTATGCTGAGTGAAATAAGTCAATCCCAGAAGGACAAATAGAGTATTAGTTCATTACTGTAAAAAGTTTAAGAAAGGTTTATATATGGAAGGAAACTCTTTGGTTACCAGGGCTGGGAGGAGAGGGGAGGGAAAAGTGCAAAAAAAAAAAAGCACTGACCCATGTCACTTTAGTTTTGTGTATTTCACTGTGCATAGATTATATTTCAATAAAATGTATTTAAAAGAAGAATAAAGAAACAATGATGCAGAATATGCGAAATCCCGCAGAACATGGATGAACTGGGAGCCATTACGCTGAGTGAAATGTTACAGAAGAACAAATGTTTTACTAGTTCTTGGAAAAAAGCCAAGGAAAGGTTTATATATGGAAGGAAACTTACTTTGTTGGTTACCAAGGGTGGGAGGGGAGGGGAGGAAACACTGCAAAAATAAAAAAAGAGGTTTGCAGTTCAAACCCGTGAGCAGCCCCAGGGAAGGAAGACAGGGCAATCTACTTCCATAAAGATTTTCCTCCTTGGAAACCCACTGGGGGGCTATGCGTCTGAATCAACTCAACGGCAGCAAATTTGGTTTTGTTTTGATCAGTAGTTTGTTTTTTTTTTTCTGAAAATGAGATAGTAATTAAAAGAAAAGGAGAAAAATTTTAAAAGTCCTCCACTCCGTTTCTAAGAATGTTGTAACTTACTAATGTAACTCATTGTAGAAAGATTTTACAAAACAATTTTGTGGTATTTATATCATTTAAGAAATACATTTAAGCAATTTACTAGTTACCACATTATTATTCAATTTGATAATAAACGTTACTAAGGTTGGGAAGTGACCCATGGATGGGAGAGGCCGTGACACCATCAGTTACTGCACTGGGTGCTAGAGCTGTCACTGCCCCTAGCAGCGTTTGTGACATCATTGGGCACTGTGACGTCACGGCAACATGCTCCAGACCCACTGGCGCCAAGCATCTCAGTAACATCACAGAAGTGAGACCGGCTAGGCCATGAGACCTTAGGTGGCCATGTCGAAGCGCGATGTCGTCCTCACCAATGTCACCGTTGTCCAGCTGCTGAGACAACCATGCACGGGTAAGGAGGCAGCAGTGGGGCCCCAGAGAAAGAAGAAAGCGTGGTTCGGGGACACGCCTCACTCGCACAGGGTGCTCGTCGGGTCCAGAGTACCTCCTATCCAGAGCGCACTGCCCACGGAGGAGGCCGGAAGCTTAGGGGAGGGTCGGCCTAGGCGGAACGGGGCTCCTAAATCCCAAAATCTCCTCACCCCCTCCTCCATCCTTGTCTTTTTCACCCGCCTGGTTTGCTGCCTAAGTGGTTTTTACAGCTCTGGGAACTTTGCCTCCAGGGCAGGGTGGGCCTTGCTCTACTTCTGAGGGGTGGAAAGGTTAGACTCAGGAGCCAGCCTAGAGGCAGGAGTCAGGGTGGCGAGAAGAGGGCCTCACGAGGAGCATTTCAAAGGCGAGCTGGTGACTGCTCAAAGATTGCTGGCCAACTGTTTTCTTATATAATTGTGTGATGTTCGTGGTGGCCTGTGCGAAAAGGGTTGCTTTGGATGTTGGTAGACTTCTGTCTTCCCTGGTGCACACAGCAAGAGCAGTACAACCTACAAAAAAAAAAAAAAAGTCCAAACTCACTGCCATCTAGTCTCAGACTCACAGAGACCCCTCCTTGGGGTATCGAGGGGGTATCTGTACAGAAGTAGATTGCCCAGTTTGCCCTCTGAGGAGTGCCTGGTGGGTGTGAACTACCAGCCTTCTGGTTAGCAGTCAAATGCCTTAGGCACTACCCCACCAGTGCTCCTTGCTACCTACCAGGTCCATGCTAATCCTGGATGCGTGCTCACTGAAGTCTCACAACCCCACGTGAGGCCAGTGTGTTTAATGTCCCCATTTTACAGAGCGGCCTGCAGAGGTAAGAGAGGGCAAATTGCTTACCCAGGACTCTCTGCAAGCAGACGGTAGACTTGAGGGCCCAGTGCTATTGCTCCCTGCCCCTGGGCACACACAGCCCAGCCAGGCGAACCCACGTCTACCAGCCCCAGTTTCCTGGCTGTTGCCTCACTTCTGGGGGCTAGGTGCCAGCTGGGAAGCCTCCCAGCTGCAGGGTTGAGGAGACCCTGAAGACAACATCAGAGAGGTTAAGGGCCACTGGGCTTAACCCCTTCCTTGCTAGTATTCACTCCATGGCCTCAAACCTCAGTTTCTCCCGCTGTAAAGTGGATTTATAGTGTGTACCTCCCAGGATTCAGTGAGATGCTGGCTAAGAGCTCAGTGTAGCACCTGGCCCCGTGATAACACCCAGGAAATGGGAGCATCATTTTAACTGGGGGACACCCACCTATGTCCTTGTTTTACCTCCCAGACACTCAAACACTGAAATTCCTCACTGCTCACTCTTCCGCCCCAGCATGGCAACTTTCCTTCAGCCCATGTACCCCACCACTAGGGTGGACAGGAGGAGAGGGGTGGGGCTGGGAAAGTAGGGAAAGGAGGACTGAGTTTTTTCCTGAAGGTCTTAGTGGACTCAGATACCCATCCTCAACCTAGATAGACAAATCTCCCTCCCTTTCATGATAGCAGAAACAGAACCCCCAGGAATGCATAATACATCCTCAAGGTCACCAATGACCACGGGGTCACTTGTCACCTATAAACACTAATACCTTTATGAATTCCTACTACCAGTGGAAACACCCATAGCCCAGCCTCAGGCTACAAGGTCTGTGGCAGCAGGAAGACGTCAGTGGTGCCCTGGCCTCTATTCGACCTCCACCTCCCGCCAGACCCAGCCACTTCCCAGGAGTCCTTGATTCCGGTGTCAACCTCCAGCCTCTCCTTTCTCTCGCCCTTTCCTCATGGACACTCTTAGCATCTCACTGCCTCCCCTCCTGTAACAAAAAAAAAAAAAAAAAAAAAAAGCTGCTATACCTTGACGTCTCACTGTCACCACTGCAGCCTCCAGTTGGAGGACCAGATGTGACACCCAGGAACCAAGCCAGAGAGGTTCATGAACTTTGCGAGACCACACCACTTCAGGCGGCTGAACCCAGGCTGGTACCCAGACTTGATTCCCCAGCTTGAAGCCCTCTGCGGCCCAGACCCCTTACTGTCTATCAGGCTGCCTCCACTCTGTCTCCTCTCCGCTCTTCAGGCCCTCCCTGCAGCTCAGGTGGGAGCACACCTCCAAGCACAGGTGTTTTAAAGTCCAATCAATGTGGGAGCGTGTGTTTGGAGAGGCTAGAGCTGAGTTTGATACAGTTGGTTCATATGGTATGATACACCCATATTTTCTAAACTTCCCTGAGGATAAGAACCATTTGGAGTACTAGGCTCAGTGCAGACCTACTGAACCAGATTTTCATAGGAAGAGCCCTCCCTAGGTGGTTCTTGTCATTAGAACAATCTATATAGACCAATGAACTAGATCAGGAGGTGCCCTGCTGGTGCAGTAGTTACTTGCTTGGCTGCTAACCAAAAGGTCAATGGTTTGAACCCCCCAGCCTCTCTACAGGAAAAAGATGTGACAGTCTGCTTCCATAAAGATTTACGGCCTTGATAGACCTATGGGGCAGTTCTACTCTGTCCTATAGGGTCGCTATGAGTTGGAATTGACTTGATGGCAACGGGTTTGGTTTACAGGTTTCAACTAGATCAACAATTATCAGACAAATTGGGGCAATGATCACAGAAATACTTGTGTGGAATGTTCCTACTGTATCATAAGCGCCATGTGTGTGTATAAACCAAAACTAAACCCTCAACCAAACTCACTGCAGTGGAGTCAGATCTGACTCATTGCGACCCCTCCTTGGTTTCTGAGGTGGTATCACTATGGAAGTAGATTGCCCAACCTTCCTTCCAAGGATGGCTGGTGGGTTTGAACCACCGCCCTTCTGGTTAGCAGTCAGGTGCCTTAGGCACTATGCCACCATACACGCACACGCGCGCGCACACACACACACACACACATAGTTAGATGCTGTCGAGTTGATTTCTGATTCACAGCGACCCCTTGTGACAGAGTCAAATGGCCCTGTGGGGTTTTCTAGGCTATAATCTTTATGGGAGCAGGCCATGAGGTCTTCCTCCTGTGGAGCCACTGGGTGGGTTTGAACCACCAACCTTTTGGCTAGCAGCCAAGCACTTAACCATTGACCCACCAAGGCTCCTACCATGTATATTACCTCATCTAATCCTCCCAGTTACCCTCTGAGACAAGTACTATTACTTCCATTTTTACAGACAAAGAACTGAGGCACAGAGACTATCACTCAGACCAATTGTTCAAAATACATGCCCACTGAATTAGACTCTTTAGAGCAGAGGCCCTGGCATTGATACTTTAAAACAGGCCTACACCCTCCCCTCCCATTCTGTGGATCAGGTAGGCTTGGGAAACACTGGTTGGACCGTTGACCACTCAGGGCCGGGAACTAGCAGCAGGTTCTGGCTGGTAGTTTGATCTCTTTCACTCTGACTGTGCAGTAAATTGTCCCTCCTCCCCCATTTCCCGCCCTCTCTCCATAGTGCCCAGAGCACAGCCCCCACCTGAGCCCAAGGTTGAGGCGGAGCCCCAGCCTGAGCCTGAGCCCAAACCGGAGCTGGTCACTGAGACTGTACAAGTTGAGCTGCCGCCATCACTGCCGCCGCCGCCACCACCAACTAAGATTTCTGAGATTCAGGAGTTGACTGTTGGCATCAATGGGTGAGTCTCTGCCCTGGCCCCTGAGCTGCTCTGCAAGCCTCGGGGCCTCACCCCTCCTCTGGGTACACACTGGGGGCCCCTCTGCATTTCTCACCAAGAGTACTTTTCATTCTGCCGGTCCTGGAGACACCTCACGGAATAAGGTAGATGGGGCCCCTGTGCTCAGCGAGCTCACATCCTAGTGGGGAAAACAATAACCAAAAGAACAAGGGAGTTCAGTGGTGTGTGCTGAACAGTACGAATTCAGTGGTGGAAGAGTGGAAAGGGTAGCATTAGCTGGGATGGTCAGAGAGGCCTCTGCAAGAAGGTGACACTGCAGTGAGACCTGAATGACAAAAGGCAACCCCCTGTACCGTTTGCTGGGGAACGAGCCTTCCAGGCAGAGGGCCAAGCAGCGGCTCTGGGAAGGAGGGGGCAAGTTCAGTGCATTCAAAGGCAGCTCGGCCAGCGTGGCTAGTGAAGAACCAGCCGGGGAGAGTAGGGAGCGAAGTGGGAAAGCCAGCAGTGGGGCTGGTCGATCATAACAAGAAGTGTGCATCTTGGTTCAGTGACAAGGAGATATGGAGGTTTCAGGCCAAGAGACATAACCCGAGCTGCCATTTAAAAGATCTGTCCAGCTACAAAGTGGAAAATAGGGGTAGGGGCGGGTGGACCGAGGAGAAAAGCAGTTATGAAGCTGGGGAGATCATCTAGGCCAGAGATGATGGCAACCCACTGGGGCGGTCACCTTCTTCCCCCAGACTGAGGACACCCACCCAACCCCCTGGAGAGGGCCTGCTCCCCTCACCTGTCCTCTCCCACCCCTCCTCTGCCTGCTGGTCGAGGGTTCGGAGGCTAGCCCTTACAATCCTTGTTCCCGGGCAGATTTGGACGCATCGGCCGCCTGGTGCTGCGTGCCTGCATGGAGAAGGGTGTTAGGGTGGTGGCAGTGAACGATCCATTCATTGACCCAGAATACATGGTAAGCAGCGAGAAAGGGTGTGGACAGGAAGGGTGGGACCAGGGTGGGGAGGTGGTTCCGGGGGTGCTGTATGGATGGAGGCTGCCAGTTGCAATGTGGGGCAGGTCCACACCTTCACCAGTGGGGGGACTCTCTAGGGATGCTCATTCCTCTGTCCCTGCCACCACAAGACTAGGATCCATTCTATTCCCTGCAGGTGTACATGTTTAAGTATGATTCCACTCATGGCAGATATAAGGGGAGTGTGGAATTGAAGAATGGCAGGCTGGTCGTGGATAACCAACAGATCAGTGTTTTCCAGTGGTAAGACTAGCATCTATCTGATGCACACCCATAGAACATTAAGATGGGATGCAGAGCAACCAAAACGGGATGCTAGTCTCTCAGTGGGGTTCATAACCCCCTAAACTGTATGTGTGCATGCCTCTGTACTAGGCTGGAGAGGGGGTCTCAAAGGTCCCTGACCCCTAAAAGGCTTAAGAAGCACTAATCTAGAAGGATGCCCCACTCTACTCAAGAATCCTTTTTAAATACGCAGTTGCATGTTTTCCTCACAGGCATGTCAGCCAACGTGTCTAAAATTCTTGATGCACCATCAACCCCAAACTTATTCATTTCCCCTTCCAGGAAATAGCATCCTTATCTAACCAAAGCCTTCCAATCAGTATATATAGCAGCTAAAGTCTTTTTAAAACATCAACTGGACCAGGTCACTCCATCTAAATGCTCCAACGGCTTCTCATCACCCTACAAATAAGATCTCAGTTCCTGAGGGGGCCCCAAGCACTAGCACCCCACTCAGCAGCCTCAGCCACACTGACCACCTACCTCTTGGGACGCTGACACAGCACCTTTCACACTGGGTGCGAAGTTCTAAATTCACAAGGAAGAATGATGAGAATCACTATCAGCCCAAAGCTGATTCCCATGAGGTGGTCGGACATATCTCTACCCTCTCACGTTTTTACCAGTTCTGATACCAGCCCTCCTATGGCACTCTCTCCTTCTGTTCTGGGTTGGATAATCCATCACAATGGCCACACAGAACTCACAGACCATACTTAGAGTTAAGTGGTTTATTAAGGAAGTATCAGGGTACAGGATTAATAGGCTATGACTCAGGATCAGGATCAGGAAGCATATAGGCATTCTCCCCTCTTCAGTGCAGGGCAGCTCGCAGCTCTTATCAGCAGGACAGGCCTCCTCTTGGCCCTGCCGTCTGCTACCACCAACTCTGCCCATTCTGGAAGCAGGTCTCCTGGACCTCTCATTGTCCTCAGCGGTACAGCACTTGACGAGTGTAACAGCTCTTTGTTGGAGGTTCCTTGCCTCTTCTCTCTGCTGCTTCTCTCTTCTTTCTTCCTTCTGCTTCTCTTTCTGCTTCTGTCTGGAAAAACTTATGTGGCGCTAGCTGTTATACACTCATTCGCCACTTATTCACAGGGTTAGGTTCCAATGACCAGGTCGTTAAAAAAAAAATTGGCATTATGTGGAAATGAAGGATGACCCCATCAGATCACAAAATGGAGAATGACTACATCATTACAAAGCTGCCAAAATACAACTGCCAAACCACTGACCATCACAACCTTAACCATCACTCTCGCTTTGTACCTTAGCATTCATTACTGTCATTAACGCACAAAATAGTCAGATAATAAATTTTTTTTACTATTGTAAATGTCTGATAAGGAGACAATAAGAGTAGGTATATTTACAAAATCTTTGTCAATTTTAAGTTATGCCCCTCCCACCAGGACCACAAACCAATGAAACTGACCAGTCTCCTCTCAGTAGGCCACAGATACTCCATTTACTTAGTAGGCTACAACTCGCCTCATTTGCGTAATCTATTGACCAGTCCCTGCAAGCTTCATACCAATCATGGGACATGCTGCAGCCCAGGACCAGACAAAAAGTATCAAACCAAGTTGTTTACAGTTTACCCAAGAAATATCAATCAACCTAGACAAAAGTAAAAACCTTTTAGGGCAGGAAACTAGGGTAATTCCTCAGGGCTTGGGGAAAAAAAATTTCTCAGGCTCTTTTTCCAAAGGCAAAAGGCTACATATAGGAACTCATTTCATCACACTGGGGCAGTGCTGACTTAACACCCTTCTCACAGAGCTCACACTGATATTAATACTCGTCCTTCCTTTAAAGGTGTTCACAGTCTATGTCAAAAGCATTAACATTAGATGTTTAATATGCTCCAAACACAAATATATTGAACCATATTTCAAGATAGCAGAAAAATTAAAAATCTGTAAAATGGGAAACATTAAACCTACCTACCTTCCTAATGTAAATTATTAGTCACTGCTATTTCTGTAGCTACCTGTGCTACCAGGGTCCTGAGATGCTAAGCAAGGATCCTTGCCTTTTACTGATAATTGATCAGGAGAGGCAGAGTGTCCACACCAACCCACAGTTCATTAAAGATAAGGTTTATTAAAGTGAAAAAATGGCTCACAAGGAAGACACAGAGAGAGGCTTCCACCTACGCTAGCCTCCAGTCTCTCTCCGAACAAAGGATTTCAAAGGTTGTTAGGTAGGGGAGGGGGAGGGAGGTAATATCATCTTTATTCATGAAATGGGCGGGGTTATGAAAATCAGATGCATCCCCATGCAGGAAGCAGCCAAGATGGATTCCTTTGCAAAGGCTGTTGGAACAAAGATGGAATCTGTTGCAAAAGCTGCTAGGATGCCTGACATGACTTATTCTGGGATGTTGCACCAGCATGATGTCTCTGGACCCTGATTTGAGTCCCAGCAAGGGACTCCTGCTGACTGCCTCTAGTGGAAGGTCGTTCATTGGTCATGTTGACTTTCACCATGCATGCTTTGCAACTGGTGGGCACTTAGTGAGGAACTTGAAAAATAACTCAGAAGGTTTATCAGCGTTTTACAACTGGTCAAGCTTGTGGGGGTTTGAAGTGTGGCTGCTTATCTTGTATAAGCTTCTAGTTTCTGGCGCCAGCATTAAGAGTTATGTGGTGGTCTGCACATAGGCTTAGATTCCAAGAATACTGAGTCAGAGGCTGTTTGATCCGGGCCAGCCTGGTCCCCTGCTTATCTCACACCCCCGAGAGATTTCATACTCATAAATCTTTATGGGGAATATGGGTGGTAACCTCTTCTGTAGTTTCTTCAAGCCGGCACAGGGCCAGCAACTTGCCTATCAGAGTAGAAATCTCTCACTACCTGTTCTAATGGTTTATATGGGCCGGCAGGCTCCTTTCCAGGGTTGGGATCTCTGCATCATCATTAGCTTGCGTTGGAATTGTTGCATTCTGGAAGAAACAAGCTTAACAAGGAGATTAAAGATACAAGGACCAAAGATAAATAGAAGTAGCAAAGCCACCAACAGTCCTACTAGGGGCAAAAACCAAGCGGCTGATGGGAGATTTTTATCTGATTCCGTAAGCTGTTAGCTAATTGTGATCTGGACTCTCTGAGCCACTGGGCATTTTCTAATAGCTTCTGTACATGGAGCTCAGCCTCTCCAGAGGAGGTAATGTACATGCAACAAGATGTGTTGACTACGGCACAAACCCCTCCTTGCTCTGCCAAGAGGTGGTTCAGGGCCAAAAAGTGATCTAGGGCCCCACTGGGCAAGGAGTTGGGAAGGCCCTGAGTCCTTACCCTGAATTTTTAGCCACCTCTTCAACCACTGCAGAGATATTTTGGGCATTTTGAGTGTTACAAATTACGTTCCTGGTCAAACTGCCGGTCACTAGGGTGGCTACTCCCAAGCCCATTAAGTTAAGAGCAGCCTGTTTCTTTCTTCCCTTTGGGTTAGTTAAGGGCTTAGAAGGTGGCAAGGGAGTGAAAATACGGGAGTTTTGCTCAGCTGGGGTTACATGGCCAACTGAGCACATCCCCTGTACACTACTGTACCAGACAGTTTAGGGCTAGGAAGGAGTCACCCTTTTCCCAGGAGCAAATAAACCAAAGTCCAGGAGGTGCATACAACAGATTCCCGTTTACCTTATCAACCCACTGTTGTAGGGTGTGGTTCCCAGAGGAGCAGTCAGGGAGGGTTCCATTCATTTTTAGGGGTCTTCACTCTGTCCTAGCCTACTCCAAACCCTTCTGCAGCTTATCCTTATCCTGCATATTCATTTGATCCCTGGGAAACTCCTCACGCCACACGACCTTGCATCATTGATTACTACCCACTTTTTGCCTCCTCAGCAAATGTAATGACCATGCTCCCGTCAAAGAGCTCATAGGCAAAAACTTCAGTTGGGAAACAGAAGAATATGATGACTGGCCCATTCTTTTGGCACTCTTTGGTCCATCTTGCAGTTGTGGGACTCTTAAGGGAGCCAATGGGTTGTAGCCCCACCCATAGGTGCTGAAGGTCTGGCTAGGCTCTGGCCAGGTTGCCTTAGCTGCATTGTGCTTCTCGTAGATAAAGACAGTAAGCTGTTGGAAGTGATGAGAAGCAGTAGCAATAGCTGGGGGCCTCTGGGAGTTGGGTGTCACAAATGCCTTATATGGTAGGAAACATAGGGTACGTCTGTTACTATGGCCGGGTGTACCTTCAAGGCAACTAGTTTGGTATCAGGGGTCCCTCGAAGGAACGTATATGCGTTGAGTTGAGTTTCTGGGTGAAGGGAGTAACCTGGGGAGGCTGCTCCTGGTGGACGTGTGACAGATCCAGCAGGCCTGCAGGCGATTCCCACAGGCTGTTCCCCAGATAAACGTGTGAGTGAGGTACTCTGGGAATTCTCTGGAAAGACAAATGGTAAGAGAGTCCACACAAGAAGAAAAAGATGCTGGGAACCCATTGGCCTTGTCTGTCCTATTTCTTGAAAAGGTACTTCAGGTCTTCAACCGGTTCACAAGTATGTTGTTGTTATATGCCGTCGAGTCAGACCCGACTCATAGCAAGCAACCCCTCCTTGGGTTTCCGAGGCAGTATCTCTATGGAAGTAGATTGCCCCATCTTCCTTCCGAGGAGTGGCTGGCAGGTTTGAACTGCCAGCCTTCTGGTTAGCAGTCAAGTGCCTTAGGCACTATGCTACCAGAGCTCCTGATACACAAGTATAGTGGGCTTCAAGTTCCTCCCAGTCAGGTGGTGTCTCAACCTTCTGTGGGGGAAAAGTTTTATTCTAGAGTTATGTATCTATGGAGACACTCCCTGAAGCTTGGCTGCAGTTGTAGTAGTCAGATTACTTGGAAGCGGCCTTTCCACTTCTCGTGTAAGTGCCTCTCAGGGGTCCCCTCCTTCCAAGATTTCAGGAGAACCAGACCCCTGGACGGATAGAAGTGCTCATTCCTTTCTCTGGGCCAGG